GCAGCAGCCACAACAGCTACAGCAGCAGCAGCACGAACAGTAGCAACTGCTGCTTTTTGCGCAAGCAGCACTTCAAGGAAAATGCAGGGGCTAGCAGCTCGTTCTGCCTACAGTCCCTTGCTGCCGCAGTTAGCTGCTGCTGCTGCTGCTGCTGGTGCTGCTCGTCGAGGTTCTTTGCATGTTAATAGTAGGAGTTTGTTGCTGCCTTTTTGTAGCTGGCATCTGCGGCGACCTGAGGTGCCTATACACCCCAGCATGTCTTTGTGTTCGAGCAGACACGAGGTGCCTATACACCGCAATTCTCTTCTTTTTGCTGCTAAAAGAAAACTTCACTGCAACACAATGGTGCCCCCACAGCCGCGTACAGTTAAGACGGACCCCCCGGAGATGCCGCTAACAAAGCTGAATGCAGCTACTAAGGTGCTGCTGCTGCTGCTGATGCTGCTGCTGCTTCAGGCTGTGTGGCTGATGATGAATGTTTTGCTGCTGCTGCTGCTGCTGCAGTTGTTCTCTTATTGCTGCTGCAGGTTTTGTTTTTGCTGCTGCAAATTTTACTATTGGTGCTGCAGGTTTTGTTGTTGCTGCAGGTGGTTTTGTCCTCTACCGTTGCTGATACTACTAACACAATGGTGCCCCCACAGCCGCGTACAGTTAAGACGGACCCCCCGGAGATGCCGCTAACAAAGCTGAATGCAGCTACTAAGGTGCTGCTGCTGCTGCTGCTTCAGGCTGTGTGGCTGATGATGAATGTTTTGCTGCTGCTGCTGCTGTTGCAGTTGTTCTCTTATTGCTGCTGCAGGTTTTGTTTTTGCTGCTGCAAAATTTACTATTGGTGCTGCAGGTTTTGTTGTTGCTGCAGGTGGTTTTGTCCTCTACCGTTGCTGATACTACTGCTGCTACTGCTGCTGCTACTGCTGCTGCTGCTGCTGCAGTTGCTGCTGCTGTGTATGTATAATTTGTGTGCGTGTGTGTGGGGCTGAGGTGCATGCTGCTGCAGATGAAGGTGTTGTTACAGACGCATGACGATTTATATTGTTTTAAAGGAGACATTGTCTTTTTCTTATGCCGCAACTCCCTACCAGAAGACGCAAAGAAGCTCGATAAACAGAGGTTCTCGCTTCTTGCTGCTGCACTTGAAGAGACAGAATTCAAAGGAGAAGTCGGGTAAATACCTGCTGCAGATGCTGCTGCTGCTGCTGCAAATGCTGCGGATGCTGCTGCTGCTGCTGAGGATGCTGGGGATGCTGCTGCTGCGGATGCTGTTGCTGCCTCTTCGCTTCTGTCTCTGCACCTTTGTTTAGCAGCAGCTGCTTGCGCAGCAGCAGCAGCAGCAGCAGCAGCAGGAGGGGTTCTGGAGAGGCATGGATGGAGTGTATGAAGACATAATTTTTGATATTTTGTTTGCGTCTGTCTGTTTGTTTATTTATAGGACAAGTGTATGCGTTCGGGTGTCTTTAGACAACCCTCGTTATATTTGTTTAGTGGGGTGTGGGGAGCATAAGACTTTCGATGCTGCTGCAGTTGGTGCTGCAGTAGCAGCAGCAATTAGAGATAGGCCTAAGGCCCGTTCAGTTGGGGTGTATATACCCCCCATGGCGCAGGCGTGCCCTTGCCCTGAGGCTCCGAAGATATTTATTCGCAAACTGCAAGCACTTCTAGAGACTCTCTTCGTTGATCTAGAACCAGACAACAGGTCTGCTGCTGCTGCTGCTGCTGCGGATGCTGCGGCTGCTGCTGCTGTGGGTGATGCTGCTGTGGATGCTGCTGCTGCTGCTGCTGCTGCTGTGGCTGATGCTGCTGCTGTGGCTGTTGCTGCTGTGGCTGATGCTGCTGCTGCCACTGTGGCTGTTGCTGCTGTGGCTGATGCTGCTGTGGCTGATGCTGCTGTGGCTGATGCTGCTGTGGCTGATGCTGCTGTGGGTGCTGTTGCTGCTGGGGCTGCGGAAGCTGTTTCTGTGCTGTGGGTGTTGCTGCTGCTGTTTTGGCTGCTGCTGTTGCTGCTGCTGCGGCTGCTGTTCCTGCGGCGAGGAGACCACAAGAGCCTTGGAGGGTTCCTTCGCCTACAGGAGGAGATTGTCTGATCTCGTGCTTTTAGGGTTTAGGGTTTAGGGTTTAGGGTTTAGGGTTTGGCGTGTGCAGGTTCAAGGGCACTGGCTCCAAGAAGGCCACTGCCCCCCAAGTTGAGCAGCTGACGATATTTACCTTCGATAAAGAGGAGACAGAGCGCGCTGTGGAGGTGCTAAACCCTAAACCCTAAACCCTAAACCCTAAGCTATAAACCCCTGATGCTATAGGGTAGCAGTTACGTCTCAGTGCGCGTCTCTAGGGTTTATTAGGTATTGTTAGGGTTTGCGGTACAGAGGATTGAAAACCTTGGTTTAGGGTTTAGGGTTTAGGGTTTAGGGTTTAGGGTTTAGGGTTTAGGGTTTAGGGTTTAGGTTTTAGGGTTTAGGGTTTAGGGTTTAGGGTTTAGGGTTTAGGGTTGAGGGTTTAGGGTTTAGGGTTTAGGGTTTAGGGTTTAGGGTTTAGGGTTTAGGGTTTCGTTTGCCGTTTGGGGTTTTTAGGGTTTAGGGTTTAGGGTTTAGGGTTTAGGGTTTAGGGTTTAGGGTTTAGGGTTTAGGTTTTAGGGTTTAGGGTTTAGGGTTTAGGGTTTAGGGTTTAGGGTTTGAGGGAGAAGGGCTCCTTAGCCACCGTCTCTGAAGATGCAAGAGAAGGTCTAGGGTTTAGAGTTTACGTGCAGGCGGCGCGGCATGTGGCTTCGGGGGTTCATCTCGCGCGGGAGTTAGTAAACGCCCCAGCGAATTACTGCACCACCATCACTCTAGCAAAAGCAGCAGAAACTATTGCTGCAGAGGTATGCTGATGCTGCTGCTGCTGCTGTTGCTGCTGCTGTTGCTGCTGCTGTTGCTGCTGCTGTTGCTGCTGCTGCTGCTGCTGCTGCTGTTGGTCTATAGAGATGTTGATTATTGTTTTTTTCTGCAGTACAGCGATAGAGGCGTGAATGATTGCTTAACATATGCATAGTATATATATATATATATCTACATATTTATTTATTTATTATTTATTATTTGTTTTATTTATTTTTCTTGTTTTGTTTAGGGGGGCTTAGAGTGTAAGATACTGGATCTGCCTGCTCTAGAAGAGTTGAAGATGGGTTGCTACTTAGCAGTAGCGAAGGGTTCAATGTACCCGCCGCAGTTTATTCATCTGACCTATAAAGCTAAGCCAGCAGCAGCAGCAGGAGGAGCAGCAGGAGCAGCAGCAGGAGCAGCAGCAGCAGCTGGAGGGAAGATAAAGAAAATAGTGTTCGTCGGCAAAGGCTTATGCTTTGATAGCGGAGGTTATAACATAAAGAGAGCAGAGACATCAATAGAGATGATGAAGTTTGATATGGGGGGTGCAGCAGCAGTATTAGGAGCAGCACAAGCAATTGCTGCCTTAAAGCCCTGCAACATAGAGGTCCATTTTATTGCTGCTGCAGCTGAGAATATGCTTAGCAGCAAATCGTATAGACCAGGAGATGTATTAACAGCAAGCAACGGGAAGACAGTAGAAGTAGGTAATACAGATGCAGAGGGGCGGCTAACTCTTGCTGATGCTCTGGTGTATGCTGAGCAGCTAAAGCCTGACGCTATTATAGATGTAGCAACTCTTACTGGAGCATGCATGATTGCTTTAGGAGATGCATATGCTGGGCTCTTCAGTCCTGATGATGCTCTTGCAGACAAAGTTTTGAAGAGGTAAGGACGTAGACATCTTGCTCCTAACCTCACTGCTGCTTCTTCTTCTTCTGCTGCATATGCTGCTGCTGCTGCTGCATCTGCTGCTGCTGCTGCTGCATCTGCTGCTGCTGCAGCTGCATCTGCCGTTGCTGCATCTGCTGCTGCAGCAAGTAGCTGTACATCTGTTGCCTTTGGACGTATTGCATGCATAGAAGCACCAACGAATAACTAACTAAATAAAATAAAATAAAATAAAATAAAATAAATAAATAAATAAATGAGTTAAATAGATAAATATCCAAGCACCAATGATGAAGAAAGTAGCTGAATCCTTGAATAAAAGAGTAAATAATATGTTGTTGTTGCTGCTTTATTGTTTGTTGAACAGCGCGGAGAGAAGCTGCGAAAAGATGTGGAGGATGCCGTTCATTGCTCGTTACAGAGATATGTTAGACTCGAAGTGCGCAGATATTAATAACACTGCTACAAAAGGAAAAGGAGGGGGGGCCATTACTGCTGCAGTCTTCCTCAAAGAATTCGTCGATAAGGTACTCAAATATGTACTCCTCCTGCTGCTGTTTATCCTGCTGCTGCTGCTGCTGATGATGCAGATGCTGCTGATGCTGCTGATGCAGATGCTGATGCTGCTGATCCTGCTGATGCAGATGCTGCTGATGCAGATGCTGATGCTGATGAAGATGCTGATGAAGATGCTGACGCTGCTGATGCTGATGAAGATGAAGATGCTGATGATGCTGCTGCTGCTATGCTGCTGATGTTGCTGATGCTTATGCTGCTGCTGCTGCTGCTATGCTGCTATGCTGCTGCTGATGTTGCTGATGTCTCATCTGTTTGTCTCCTTTTCTGTGTCCATATTTTGTGTGTTTATTCTCCCTGTCTTGTCTTTTAATTTTTAATTAATTCTTTTGCATTTTTATTTCTTTATTTTTGTTTATGCAGACTCCTTGGGCTCACATAGACATAGCAGGCCCCGCTTGGTGTTATAAGACGGGCTCAGCGACAGGTTATGCGGTGAGGACATTAACAGAGTTTGCTTTAGCTACATCAAAAGAGCAGTAAAGCATTATTTATTTTACCTTCAACTAATCCATTAACAGCACATTAGGGGCCCCCTACACAAGCAGGGGGCCCCCTACACAGATACGGGGGCCCCTGCACAAGAAGGGGGCCCCTACAAGACATGGGGGCCTCTACAGGATAATAGGGGGCCCCCTGTCATGTAAAGGGGGCCCCTTAGCAGACAGGGGGCCCCCACTTTTAGATGACGTGGGGCCCCTCATAAGACTGGGGGGCCCCCACATTGAAGACAGGGGGGCCCCCAAAGAGGCAAGGGGGCCCCCAAAGAGGCAAGGGGGGCCCCCTCATTAAAGACAGGGGGGCCCCCAAGGAGACAAGGGGGCCCCCAAAGAGACAAGGAGGCCCCTAAAGAGAGAAGGGGTCCCCCAAAGAGACAATCTGGGGGGCCTCTTCCCTTTATTATTATTCTCCTTGCATTCATTTCCCCCTAAAGTATGGGGCCCCCTTTAGTGCGATATAACGCATTGGGGCCCCTATTATACGGGGGCCCCCGACGAGGGCCCCCTCTTTGCTTTAATGCAAAGAAATTAATAGGGGGCCCCCCTCCCTCAGAAGAGATGAGGTGAAGATGGGGTATGCGTACACTGTGCGAATACAGACCTACACTAAACGGCTGTGGTTGCCTAGAGAATGCCCCTAAAGAAAGGAATTAAAACTCTGCAAGGCCCCAAACAAAATCAGAAAAATAAAACCTCTCTTAACACTAAAGCGTAGATACGTGTATATATACAAATAGAGCGGGAGATAGCTCATACATAAACAGACGAGATTATAAAGAGCGCCAGGGGCTCTTTTTTCTTCTAGAAGGGAAGGGAGTAGTTGTATCGTGGTGAGGTGTACGTACACCCTAAACAAACACAACAGAGAAGCATCAGACAGTGAGTGCAAACGCAGACGCAAAGAGGCCCTAAGAACCTAGATGGGGACCCAGTAGTTGTGTAGACACCCCCTAAGAGTTAAGAATTTGCGGTCTAGGGTTTAGGGTTTAGGGTTTAGGGTTGTTGTAGGTCTCAGCCTCAGCTCAGCATACCGAGAGAATAGGGGTTCTTACGCACAAGTATATTGCAAAAACAAAAGAATTTCTTTATTTAATTCAATAAATTGTTTTATTTTATTTATTTTATTTAAAGAAACACTGAAAAATATACCTGTAGATACACCCGGGGGCCCCAGGCCCACCCCCACCGACCCCACCACCTCTGGCTGTAGTTCTTTAGCTTTGTTTGCTGCTCGAACCTGCATATTTTCCCTTTTTCTTTTCTTTTTTTTTGTTTTTATTTATTTTTAAACTCCTCCACAACCTGCAGACACACCAGGGGAACGGGGGCCCCAGGACCGCACGATGTGCTGCAGCAAGGAGCAGCAGCACACCAGCAGCAGCAGCAACAGCAGCAGCATCTGCAGCAATCTGAGGGCCCCTGCTGTATTTTCAGAGGCTTTTTAAACCCCTTCTTCTACCTGTAGTAGTGCTGGGGGCCCCCGGGGGCCCCTGCTTGCCTAGGGGCCTCTGGGGGCCCCATGTGCAGCTCTTCCTACGGGCTGTGTATCTCTTCTTCTGAGGCCCTAAACCCTAAACCCTAAACCCTTTTTTAAACAAATGAGGGCCCCGCAGGCTCCTCGAGCTCTGCCATTGGTGGGGAGCCTCTCGGGGCCCCCCTCCGGAGGCCTGAGTTCTACTATAGGGGGCCCCTTGGGGGGCCCCCTAGGGGCCCTTGCAGGGGCCCCTCCCCCCCTTAACCGCACTGTTGGAAGACTGGGTACTGGCTCGTGGATGAAGTTCGCGCTGCAGCGAACTTCAGCGCTGTTGGCTGAGGAGAAGGAGCGCCCCGGCAAGCAGCAGCAGCAGCAGCGGCAGCAGCAGCAGCAGCAGGAGACCCACAAGGATTCTGCTGAGGCTGGCAGTGATTCTCCTGCAGCAGCAGCAGCTGCAGCTGGAGGCGAAAATGAAGTGGAGCAACAAGCAAGCGACCTGCTGGGCCGTGGGCAGCAGCAACCTTCGGCACCGCAGGAACAGCAGCAGCAGCAGCAGGAGCAGGAGCAGCAGCAACAGCAGCAGCAGCAGCAGCAGCAGCAGCAGGAGCAGCAGCAGAGCAAGACAAAGTCTAGGCGCAGCAAGAGGGCCCCCTCCGGGTCTGAGGGTAGCGGCCCCCGCGATCCGCCAGCAGCAAAACGACAGAGAGCAGCAGCAGCTGCTGCTGAGGGCTCAGCCAAGGGGGCCTCAGCAGCAGCTGCTCTCCCCTTAACTGTCTCCTCTAATAAGGTTGAAGAAGAAGGAAGCAGAAAAAATATTAAAGAGACAGAAGAGGGCCCATTAAAAACCAAGAAGAAGACGCATAAACACAAAAAGGCAGCAGTAGCAGCAGCAGCAGCAGTAGGAGCAGCAGCAGAAGCAGCAGCAGAAGAAGAAATAGATGCAGCACGAGACATTGATGCAGCAGCAGCAGCTGTAGATGCTGCCATCCCCTCTGAACAAGACCAAGACCATGACCTGCAGCAGCAGCAGCAGCAGCAGGAACAGGAAGAGGAGCAGCAGCAACAGCAGCAGGAGAGACAGGGGGCCTCTTCTGCGGCTGGGGGCCCCTCAGACCCTTCTGAAGATGCTGCCAGCGCACAGTCAGAAGCAGAGAAGGAAGCAGCAGAGGATCGGGGGGCCCCCTTAGCAAAGCAGGGGGCCCCCTCACCACCTCCTCCAAGGCACAAGGGGCACAAGCAGCAGCAGCAGCAGCAGCAGCAGCAGCAGCAGCAAAGAGAGCGCACAAAGGAAACTCAGTGCAGACGCCCTTCAAAGGAGACAGCAGAAAGCTTCTCCTTTGTCGTGGGCCTTATTGGGGGCCTAGCCGTTCCTGCGTCTGCTGCTGCTCCAGCTGCTGCTGCTGCTGCTCCGCCCCGCGACAAGCAGCAGCAGCAGCAGCAGGCAAAGCAGCAGGAAGAGCAGCAGCAGGAGAGACGTCGAAAACACCACAAGGCCCGCAGCAGACGGATGACTGAGTTTGCTGCTGCTGCTGCAGCAGCAGAAGAGGGGCCCCCCCACCCAATCCAGGAGGGAGCCCCTGGAAGCCGCAGCAGCCCCCTAAGCGACTGCAGCCGCAGCAGCACTAAGCACTCTCACCACCGCCAGCAGCAGCAGCAGCAGCAGCAGCAAGAGGAGGGTACAGAGGCGGAGAAGGTTAGCAGCAGACGCAAAGAGCGCCGCCGTCATCACCGCTCAGCAGAAGTTAGGGGGCCCCCAGGGGCCCCCTCATTATATGAAGGGGGCCCCTGCGAAGATCCAATGGGGGCCCCCGGGGCCCCTGAAGACAAAGAGGGTTTGATAGAAAGGTATGAAAAGATAGTAAAGACTGCAGGGCCCCCTTGCGCTTCTGTTGGTGTGCAGGTAGGGGCCCCTGCTCCCCTATGCTTCTCTTCTGTGTGGGGTTTGGATTTAGCTGCAGCATCACTGGCGCTGCAGCAGCGCGAGCAGCAGCAACTCAGGTGTCTCCTACAAGACGCAGAAGGGGCCCCCTCTGCTGCCTCTAATGAGCCGCACCAGGGGGCCCCCGCAACACTGTCGCCCTGTGCAGCAGACGCGGGGGGCCCCCCTCCTATGCAGCAGTCCTACCCCGTTCCTGCTGCTGCTGCTGCTGCTGCTGCTGCTGCTGCTGCATGGGCAGGAGAAGCAGCATATATGAAGCCTCTTTATGCCGAGAGTTATTCTTCAGAGGAAGAGGCATCTGGGGTTGAGGGTTCAGTTAGTAGGGGGCCCCCTAAACAAATGCAGGGGGGCCCCCTATTAAAACCTCGCCGCTTTCTATCGTTTGGTAGCAGCGCCCGCTGCAGCCTCTTCGCTTCCCCTGCAGCAGCAGCAGCAACACCAGCTGCAGCAACACCAGCAGCACCAGCAGCAGCAGCTGCTGCTGCTCCTGAATCTGCAACGGCGTCAGCGCTTGTTCAATGGGGGGACCCTACAGGTAGCGCTCTAGGGGGCCCCCAGGGGGGCCCCATTGGGGGCCCCTCCAGCGAAGCAGCGCGGCTGCTGCGGGCGTTGCAGAGGGTTCGGCGACGGCTGCTGCTGCAGGGGCAAAGTGCTGTGCTGCGCAGCGACAGCAGCAGCAGCAGCGAGGAAGAAGGCAGCAGCAGAGACTCCTCACCCCCCCGAAGTCCTGCTGCTGCTGCTGTTGATGCTCCTGCTGCAGCTGCTGCAGCGGGGTGCGAGGGTGCAGCTCCTGCTGCTCTGGCTACGGGCGAAGCAGCAGCAACACCAGCAGCACCACTTGCAGCAGCAACTGCTGCTGCTGCTGCTGCTGCATCCCCTTCCCTTTCGCCTCCACGTAACGAGGGCCTACAAACTGTGCAGACGCATCTGCTGCTGAAGGGCCCTCAAGAACCGGAAGCAGCAGCAGCAACTGCAACAGCAGCAGCAGCACCAGCAGAAACTGCAACAGCAGCAGCAGCAGCGGCAACAGTAGCAACCACAACAGCAGCAACAACAGCAGCAGCAGTAGCAGCAGCAGCAACGGGGAATGCAGCAGCAGCTGCTGCTGCTCACCTCCGCCGCCGCCAGCCCCGCAGCAGCGCACCCCCAGCTTTGTGTCTGTTTGGGGGGCCCCCGGGGGCCCCCTGGGACATCTTTAGCAGCAGCGACTCGGAGGGCCCGCCCACAGAGAAACCCTCAGTTGCAGCAAGCAGCAGCAGCAGCAGCAGCAGCAGCGGCAGCGGCAGCAGCAGTAGCAGCAGTGCCAGCAACAGTAATAACGCCAGCAGCAGCAGCAGCAGCAGCACTGGCAGCAGTCCCAGTAGCAGCAGCAGGAGAGCAGCAGAGGGCAACAAATCTACGCATGCAAATCCTTTAAGGGCCCCCGAGACACCACCCAGACCGGGGGCCCCCATGGGGCCTCAGGGGGCCCCCTCTGCGTTGTCAGGAGGCCCGCATACTCCACTCAGCAAAGGCACGCGCAGCCCAACTGCAGCAGCAGCAGCAGCAGCAGCTGCTGCTGCTGCTGCTGCAGAGGCAGCAGCCGATGCGCCGACTCCGCTGCTGCTCGAAGCGCCAAGCATCACCGCTGGGTGGGGCCCCACAGAATGGAAGCAGCAGCAGCTGCAAGGAGGGAGGCAGCAGCAGCAGCAGCAGCAGGGGGAAGTGCAGCAGTTGCAGCAGCAGCAGCAACAGCAACAGCAGCAGCAGCAAAGGAAAATACAGGAAGAGGAGCAGCAACAGCATCAAGAGCTGCTTCAAGAGGAGCAGCAGGAGCAGCAGCAGCAGTTGGAGGAGCCGCAGCAGGAGGAGGGGCAGCAGCCAGAGGCACTGCAGCAGGAGGAGGAGGAGCAGCAGCTGCAGCCGAGTGAGCTTGAAGCAGCGCAAACTCAGCTGCTGCTGCAGCACGAAGTACTCCAGCAGCAGGAGCAGGAGCAGCAGCAACAGCCTGACCTGCAGCAGAAGCAGCAGCAGCAGCAGCCAGAGGTGCAAGAGGAGGAGCCGCAGCAGCAGCAGCAGCAGCAGCAGCAGCAAGAATCCCAGTTTGCGGATTGCTGGGGGCCGCTTGAGGGCCCCCGGGGTTTGCTTGCTGCTGATCAGAGAAGAGACAGCGAAGCAAAGAGACAGCAAGAAGGGGTGTCTCCTTATCCTGCTCTGCCGTCTCCTAATAAACAATGGGGCCTCCTTCAGCAGGGGGGCCCCCTCCTTGCTTCCCCCCTCTCCGGGCCCTTGGGGGGGCCCCCCAACGACAGGGTACAGCAAGGGGGGCCCCCTGAGCCTACAGGGTCTCCTCTTCAAAGAATGCATTTAGACGAAGAAGAGAAGAATGCAGTAGGGGGGCCCCTGGGTACCGAGGGGCCCCCATCACCAACTGAGGGTACAGAGGAACCCCTAGCGCAAGAAGAGGGTACAGGGGGGCCCCCGTCGGGGCCCCCAGAGGAAGCAGAGGGTACTGAGGTGTCTCTGGGAGAAGCCGAGGGTACAGAGGGGCCCCCAGATCAAGCAGAAGATCAAGAGGGGCCCCCAGATCAAGCACAGGACCAAGAGGGGCCCCCAGCACAATCAGAGAACATTGAAGGGGCCCCAGAGCAAGCAGAGGGCATAGAGGGGCCCTTAGAGCAATCAGAGGGTGCAGAGGGGGCCCCATTAGAGAGTGAGGGTACAGAGGGGCCCCCAGCGCAAGAAGAGGGTACAGAGGGGCCCCCAGCTCAAGAAGAGGGTACAGAGGGGCCCCCAGCGCAAGAAGAGGGTACAGAGGGGCCCCCATCGACAGAGGGGCCCCCATTAGAGAGTGAGGGTACAGAGGGGCCTTGTAGTGCGAAGGGGGGCCCCTCTGATGAGACAGAGAGAATTGTTGTTTGGGGAGTACAGGAGATTGAAGGGGAGGAAATAGTTTTATCTGAAGACGGTACAGCTGAGGGGCCCCTCGGGGGGCCCCCTGTTCGAGCTGAGTGTACCGGCTCGCCTACTGTTGTCTCCTTATGTGACTCCGAAGGAGAGACAGCAAGCAGAGACACTTCCCCGCGACTCCAGCAGCAGCAGCAGCAGAAGCAGCAGCAGCAGCTACAGCATCCCCAGGGAACAGCAGCAACAGCAGCAGCGGAAACGGACGAAAACCTCCCGCTGCAGCAGCAGCAGCAGCAGCAGCAGCAGCAGATGCCTTGGGGAGAGGGAGCGCTGAAGAGCGACAGCCTGTCTCCTATATCGAGCCCCAAGGTAGCAGCAGCAGCAGCAGCAGGTGCAGCAGCAGCAGCAGCAGCAAGTAGTCCCTCAGCCTTCTGGTTTAGGAGTTTGGGGGCGGTGGGGTTGGAGGCGCATGCAGCAGCAGCAGAGCCTCGGGTCTCTCGCTGCGGTGTCCTCACAGCAGGTGAGTCTCTGTCTCTTTTAAAACATAAACCCCTATCTTGTTTAAATTATATTTCCTATTAACGCAGCACAAACAAAACCCTATACCTACACCTTCCTGACTGCTGTCTCCTCTCTGCTGCTGCTGCTGCTGCTGCTGCCGCTGCTGCTGCTGTCTCTTCATTCTCTGTGCTGCAGAAGATGTGGCTTTAGCACATCAGCTAATGGGGGCCCCTCCAGGGGAGGGGGCCCCCGAGGAGGGGGGCCCCCCTGAGGGGGCCCCTGTCATAACTCGCTACGGCATTTGTTTGACTAGGTAAGTGCAGCAGCATGTTGCTGTATTATTAGTAGCAGCAGCAGCAGGCTTTGTGCTATTGGGGGCCCTCTTGTGGGGCCCCTCCTGCAGCAGCAGCAGCAGCAGCAGGAGCAGCAGTAGCAGCGCCGGCAGAGGCAGGAGCAGCAGCAGCAGCAGAAGCAGCAGGAGGAGGAGGAGGAGCACTAGCAGCAGCAGCAGCAGCGGTTGGGGTGTATGCGCAGCTTGGGTTTGTGCTGCAGACAGTCGCTGCGCAGCATTGGTAGTGGGGGCCTTTTTGATGATGAAGTTATTAACATGTATTTTGCTCTCCTTCAAGAAAGAAATAATCGGGCATTAAAATGCAAAGAAAGGTAGGGAGATAATGTCGAGGGTTTAGGGTTTAGGGTTTAGGGTTTGGTGTTTGATAACGCCCAGGGTTTAGGGTCTAGGGTTTAGGGTTTAGGGTTTGGTGTTATTTAGAGTTTCGTGTTCCGGGTTTTAGGTTTAGGGGTTGGAGTGTTTCAGGGTAGGGTCTAGTGTTTGGCGTTTAGGGTTTAGGGTTTAGGGTTTAGGGTTTAGGGTTTAGGGTTTCGGATTTAGGGTTTAGGGTTTATGGGTTGCCTGTGGCGTAGGGTTCCTCGGTGTCTGCTGCTGCCGTCACACTTTTACAGCTCTCTTTCTTCAAATGGCTTCGCTGCAGTAAGGGTAAGGATTCAAGGCGAGGGTTTAGAGTTTAGGGTTTAGGGTTTAGGGTTTAGGGATTGGGGTACATGGGTTAAGGGTTTAGGGTTTAGGGTTTAGGGTTTAGTGTCCAATTAGGCGCCTGCAGCCTGTTTGCGTCTTCTCTGTATTCCCGGGCCATCGTCACCTACAGCAAAGCTCAGGGTATAGGGTTTAGGGTTTAGGGTTTAGGGTTTAGGGTTTAGGGTTTGTGTGCAGCGGTGGACTTTGCGGGGGGCCGTGGATATATTTGGTTTTGATATTTTGCTGCTCCCCCTTCACGTAGAGAGCAGGGCCCACTGGGCTCTTGGTTGCGTCTTCATGCGGTAGGCACCGCTAGGGTTTAGGGTTTAGGGTTTAGGGTTTGGGGTTTAGGGTTTAGAGGCACCTGAAAGGACATGGGCTTAGGGTTTATCCCACTTTGCTGCCGCACGACGGGGACAGCGCAGAGCCTCTTGCCGCTGCAGCAACAGCATCAGCAAGAGCAGCAGCAGCAGCAGCAACAGCAGCAGCAGCAAGCGCTGTGCGTTGTTTTGCTGTTCAGTGAGAAGAAGGTTTTCTACTTCGACTCTCTTCGCTGTGATGAGGACGCCGTGAAGTTAGTTCTTCGCAAAGATAGGGTTTAGGGTTTAGGGTTTAGGGTTTAGATTTTAGGGTTTAGGGTTTGGGGCTTAGCTTCTGGGATTTGGGTTTAAGGGTTTAGGTTTTGCGGTGTAGGCTTTAGGATTTGGGGTTTAGGGCTTAGGGTCTATGGATAAAGGTTTAGGGTTTATGGTTTAGGGTTTGTTGTCTAGGGTTTAGGGTTTAGGGTTTAGGGTTTAGGGTTTGGGGTGTATGCAGGTTCTACAAGACGCTGCGGGAGTACTTAGCGGCGGAGCATTTAGATAAAAAACAAAAACCGCTGTCCACTGCTGACTGGCGCGGTGTCCTCCCAGTAAACCCTAAACCCTAAACCCTAAACCCTCATCCATGGCCAGTAGCTTCCTTGGATCGCCCAGCAGCTTTCTTTCTTCCGTTTGGTGGTTTAGGGTTTAGGGTTAAGGGTTTAATATTTAGGGTATAATATTTAGAGTTTAATATGTAGGGTTTAGGGTTTAGTAGGGTTTACTATATAGGGTTTAGGGTTTAGGGTTTAGGGTTTGTTGTGGGTGGTGCAGCACGGAGTGCCGCAGCAAAAGAATGAAACAGACTGCGGTGTATTTTGCTGCTCTTTTGCCGAGGCTATCGCTGATGGGCGCCCCGTCGATGGCTTGATGAATGAAGAGACAGTTCGCTGTCTCCGTCTACATATGGTAAGCCTTCCTGCTGCTGCTGCTGCTGCTGCTGTTGCTGCTGCTGCTGCGGATGATGATGATGATGATGATGGTGATGATGATGCTCTTGCTGCTGCTGCTGCTGCTGATGATGATGATGCTCTTGCTGCTGCTGCTGCTGATGATGATGATGAGAATGCTGATGCTGCTGCTGTTGCTGCTGTTACTGCTGCTGATAATAATGCTGCTGCTGGAAGTGGGGTGGTGGTTGTGCTGCTGCCGTTGCTGCTGTTGTTTGTTGTTGTTGCTGCTGCTGCTGCTAAGGATAGGCTGCAGCAACAGTGTGCGGGTGTCTCCTTTCTGGCTGTCTCCTCTGCATTTTCACGTGCTGCTGCTGCTGCTGCTGCTGCTGCTCCTTTTGTATGTTTGTCTCCTTCAGGTCCTTCAGCTTCACCGAGGTGTTGTTGATTAATTTGCTGCTAATCTTCTCCTCCTTATGACCTTCAGGGCCCCCAACTCTACCTGTGCAGCATGCGGGGGGGGCCCCCCGACAGTACCCTAGGGGCCCCCCTAACGGTACCACGGGGGCCCCCCTGACAGTACCCTAGGGGCCCCCCTGCCTCTACCCTCTGACAGAACCCTAGGGGCCCCCTGACAGTACCCTAAGGGCCCCCTTACAGTACCCTAGGGGCCCCCCTAGCGGTACCCTGGGGGCCCCCCGGGTTTTGTAGAGTAATCTCCTCAGGCAAAAAAATATAAATAATAAAATAGAGGGGCTGCAGAGAAGGGGGGAATATCTTTTTGTATAAATTGTATCTAAGAGAGACACCCCGAGATTTAATATCTTTCTCCTGTTGTTGCTTCTGTCATTATTATTTTATTTTATTTTATTGTATTCTATTTTGTTATATTTTATCTTGTTTTTTTTATTTTATTTATCTTTGAGAGACACCCCCAGAGAAACTGCGGTGTACAGACAGCGCAAAGCAGCCAATCAATAAATTGCTGCTTTCTGCATGCGCAGCATCTGCATGTACACCCCAACGCCAAACACCCCGAACACAAACAGTTCAAACAGGGGCCCCATATCCTCCTCCAGCACGGGTACCTAGGGGCCCCCTAGAGGCCTCTAAGTAGACTTCTCTTTGGAGTGGGGGCCCCCAGGGGCCCCCAGACGGGTTTGTTGGCGGACCTCTCTTGTGGGGGCCCCCCGAGGGGCCCCCAGGGGCCTCTGAGTATGGGGGCCCCCGGGGGGCCCCTAGAGGCCTCTGAGTATACCTGTATTGAAGGGACCCGACCCCTGGGGCCCCCACAGCCTGAGGCCCACCGGGGGGCCCCCAGGGGGCCCCACGTGTATATAAGCTGTGGGTTTGATGGGGGTGTTTTGAAGCTAAGAGGATTAGCGAGGGAAAGAGTATAAAGTCTCAGGTGTACAGGCAGCTGGGGGTTCTTAGAGACACACTTTGTCTGTTGTGGGGTAACAGTCTGGCTCATAAGGGCGCTGTAGCTAGCTGGAAGCTGCTGCAGCAGCCGTCAGCAGCAGCAAGAGCCGCAGCAGCCGTTGCTGCTGCTGCTGCTGCTGCATCTGTTTGTTTTTCTCGGTGAGGGCGAGGTGTGTGTTAGTAAATTTATAATAAATATCGCATATTATTTTAATAGACATTTGTTATATATTTCCTTAGCTTATTTTTTAATTTATATGTTATAGTAATATATTATTTATTATATATTATAGTAATATATTATTTATTATATTCTATTATTTGTACTGCATAACGTATGCATACACATATAAAATATATTATACGTTCATACTTATATTTTTATCTATATTCATATTCATATTTATATTTACATTTATATTTACAGATATATTATTACTATGAATATATCTATATGCGTATGTGTGCAGTTGTTATGTTTGCCTGGGGGCCCCCAGGGGCCCCTGGGGTGTTGGGGGCCCCACTTGTAAGAAATAGGGGCCCCCTCAGAGAGAAGCTTCAATCATATTATGTTATAATTCTTTATTTAATACTAAATAGAAATAAACAACAAGACAGAGAGACCCCCTAGGGGCCCCCTTCACCCTCACTTACTCGGCAGGGGCCCCCCCCCTGCCTCGTTGGGGGGCCCCCTTTAGCCTACTTGCTGCAGCAGCTAAAAAAGGGTACTGGGGGCCCCCAACTCGTCGCGATGGGGCCCCCAGGGCTCTAGGGGGCTACAGGTTTGATAAGGGGGTATATAAAGCATGAGACAATCAGCAGAGATCAAGGGGACCCTCCCCCCCAATGGGGCCCCCGAGGGGCCCTCCACAGCAAACAGAACAGCTGCGGGGGCCCCCGTATGCTGCAGATACCCTTACAGTAGGGGCCTCAGTAGGCTGTTCGTAGGAGTCTTCTTCCTGCTGCAGCTGGCAGGCTCAGTCGGTAGCCCTATAGGGGGGGCCCCCAACAAGGGGGCCCCCCTGTTGGGGGCCCCAGACAAAGGGGGGGCCCCCCATATAGGGGCTTCGTATAAAGGGGGGGGCCCCCTGCTGGAGGCCCCCTATTGGGGGGCCCCATATAAAGAGGGTTCACGTATGAGGGGCCCCTACTGCGCCTTTCAGAGCCTCTTTAGTTCTTTCCTTGAAGGGGGGGGCCCCTGTCTTCCTGCTGCTTCTGTCTCCTCGCGGCAGCTGTTAGTACCCTCTATTAGGGGCCCCCAGACTGGGGGCCCCCTGGGGCCCCCCCAAGGGAGGGGGCCCCTAGAAAGTATGCATGAGACAACAAAGGGGGCCCCCAAGGAGTGGAGGGGGCCCCACAGCTCGCTGCATGCAAAAGGACGCCCAGGGGGTGGAGGTGGTGTGGGGCCGAAGAAGAAGACAGCTCAGCAGAAGCAGCAGCAGCAGCTGATGCTGCAGAAGCAGCAGCAGAAGCAGCAGCAGCTGCAGCAGCTCGGAGGCTTTGCGAAGCATAAGAAAGCTAAAAAAGCAAAAGAAGGAGAGGGGGGGCCCCTGGGTACTGCAAAACAGACAGCAGCAGCAAAGCTTCACCGCAAAGCAGCAGCAAAAGAGGGGCCCCCAGAAGACCCCTCTCTTGCTGCAGCAGACCTAAGCCTTCGAGACCTACCCTATGATTTGGTGAGGGGTTTAGGGTTTAGGGTTTAGAGTTTATGGCTAAGGGTGTAGGGTCTATGCTTTGGGGTTTAGGGTTTAGGGTTTAGGGTTTAGGGTTTAGGGTTAGTGTTCAGGGTTTGTTGTTTAGGGTTTAGGGTTTAGGGTTTAGGGTTTGGGGTTGCTGCCCTCTATGCCTTTTATGCTCGTTATTTGTAGTTAATTGTAAATTTTTTAGGGTTTATAACAAAGCATGAACGGCCCGTTTAAAGCAAGTGTTTGTATTATTATCATTATTGTTTAATTACTAATCTTTATTATTATTGTTTAATAATTCTTTTTATTGTTAATCTTTTTTATTATTATTTTTATTATTACTCAATAATTATTTTTATTATTATTTATTACTATTATTAGCAGTAATACCATTAGTATTACTTACTAATTTTTACTACGATTTATTATTATTATTATTATTATTTAACTCTTTATATTATTCAGGTGTCTCCTGAGTTATTTGAGGTGTATAAGGCGTTCGGCCGTCTTGCAGATCCTTACCTTCCGCATGCAAGCCTCCCCCCTTCTTCTCGCATTTTCATTGAGCGTCTCTTCAAAGGGTTTACTCAGTTAGAATGCACAAACCCTCCTTCTATATAAGTGTCTCCTTTTATAATTCAAATGTCTCCTTCTGTAGTTTAAGTGTCTCCTTTTATAATTTAAGTGTCTCCTTTTATAATTTAAGTGTCTCCTTTTATAATTTAAGTGTCTCCCTTGGTATTTATATGTCTCCTTTTATAATTTAAGTGTCTCCTTTTATCATTTAAATGTCTCCTTTTGTAATTTAAGTGTCCCCTTTTATAGTTTAAGAGCCTCCCTTTATAATGCAAATGCCTCCTTTTATAATTTAAATGTCTCCTTCTGTAATTTAAGCGTCTCCCTTTATATTTTCAGTGTCTCCTTTTGTAATTTAAGTGTCTCCTTTTATAGTTTAACAGCCTCCTTTTATAATGCAAATGTCTCCTTTTATAATTTAAGTGTCTCCTTTTATACTTTAGGTGTCTCCTTTTATAGTTTAAGAGTCTCCTTTTATAATTTAAGTGTCTCCCTTATTATTATTGAATATTAGTATTATTATAGAGGAGACGAATTTAAGTGTCTCCTTTTATAATTTAAGTGTCTCCCTAGTATGTTTAGAGTGTCTCCTTTTGTTATTCAGGTGTATATACACCGTATTGTGTGTCTCCTCAGGTGTCTCTTCTTTCTTTATGTTGTTTATGCATGCAGTCGTTCAGGTGTATCTGCAGATGAATTTAAAATTCGTCTGGAGTATGAGTGGCGCTTCATTTTGCCTCTAGCAAGAGACCCTCTATCTCCCCCTCAAATTAGGGGCCCCCAGGGGGCCCCCCAGGGGGCCCCTCAGGACCCTCACGATGCTTCTTCTTCGTCTTCTTCTTCTTCTTCTTCTTCTTCTTCTTCTTCTTCTTCTTCTTCTTCTTCTTCTTCTTCTTTTCCATTTGAGGGGCTCGACGTAAAACTCTGTCAAGGTGCGGCGACGCCCTAGCTAGCTAGCTATCTAGCTAGCTAGCTAGCTGCAGCTAGCTAGAAGCTAGCTAGCTACCTCCAACTACCTGCTAGCTAGCTAGCTAACTGTAGCTAGCTGTAGCAAACTGTAGATGGCTATGGCTACGTGGACCTAGGTGTACAGGGTCGTAGCTAGCTGTAGCTAGCTGTAGCTAGCTGTAGCTAGCTGTAGATAGCTACAAGCACTTGAAGCCGCTGTAGGTGTCTTTTAAAGGCCTTAGGCCCCTCTCCCCGTGTCTCCTCCTGATGTCTCTATGACGACGCTCTCAAACCCGTGGAGCTTGCTGCTGCTACTGCTGCTGTTGCTGCTGTTGCTGCTGCTGCTGTTGCTGCTGCTGCTGCTGCTGTGCGCAGCATGGGCAGCAAAGCGAGGACTAAAGATTATAGAAGAGGAGAAGACGCAGGGAAGACGCGCGGTATGTTGTATTGAATTAATCTGTCTCCTTTTGTCGCCGTTTTCTTTTATATATGCTTCATTATCTCTGTCTCCTTTTGTGTTTATATATTATTCATCATCTCTGTCTGCTTTTTTATATTTATAATATATATTTGTATTTATTTAATCCCCTCTGTCTTCTTTTGTGTATTTATCTTTATTTACTTGCTTCTGTCTCCTTTGAGGTGTATGGGTGTCTCCTTTGAGGTGTATCGATATCTCCTTTTGCTTTTGTTTTATTTTCTTCATAAACTCTGTTTGGAGTTCTTCTCTGGGAGGAGAAGCTGCTGCTGCTGCTGCTGCTCTTTCTGTTCTTATGTCGTTAGGTCTCTTGCTGCTGCTGCTGCTGCTGCTGCTGCTGCTGATTTTGCTGCTTCTGTTTTTTTTCTGCTGCTGCTTATGCTGCTTTCGTTCTTGCTGCTGCTGCTTCTGCTTCTGGTGTTGCTGCTAATTTCGTTTTTGTTTGTGCTGCTGCTGCTGCCTTTGCTGCTTTTGCTGCTTTTGCTGCTTCTTATACCTTTCTGGTCTTGCTGTTTCTGCTGCTTCTGCTGCTTCTGCTGCTGCTGCTGCTGCTGTTGTTGTTGCTGCAGCAGCAAAGCAAGCCTATGAAACGCCTTACAGCATTCTTATGGGCTTACAGTCGGATACCCCCCCTTCACTTGGGGCCCTCTGAAGCTGCTCGCGCTTTGCTGCCTCCTGAGGGGGCCCCGACGCAGCAGCAGCAGCAGCAGCAGGTGGAGCTGCTGCAGCTGCGACGCCGAGTCTGCTCTGAGATTAATCAACAAGGAATTCATCCGGCTGTCTTGGAGACACTGTGGGAGTACTTTGCTGATGGAGACACCTGTGAGGCTGCTGCAGCTGTACATACACCTCAGCTAAACCTGTCTCCTTTTCTGTTGCTGCAAGCACAAATAATTATACTTCTACACCCTTCTGCATATTATTATTATTATTATATATTATTATTATTATTATTATTATGTACTATTGTTATTCTACATTAGTATTATTATTATTACGTATTATTATTACATATGCTGATTATTATTATATTTGTTATTATTAATTATTATTATTATTAATGTACATATCTTACTCATATATTTGCTTCTTTGTATATTAACTTTTTAACATATTTATTCTATTTATTCATTTACTTGTACTTGCATGCACAAAGTGTAAATAATAAAAATAATAAATAAGACAGAATATAACAGATATATTAAAAATAACATTATATATAAATATATTTTATCTACTTATATATTCATCATCATATTATGTATATATACATATGCACATACATATATATATGTATATATATATATATATATGTATATATATGTATATGTATTATATTAATTGATATATACTGTTATTTTCATGTCTTTGTCTTCAGTATTAACAAGAGAGCGAGCAAAGCAAAAGATAGAAGAATTAATAGGGGGGCCCCCCCCTGGGGCCCTTCGTCTATGGTTGGAGGCAGATGAAGCAGAAGATCTATTAAAAGAAAAAGGAGGTGTAATAAATGCAACAAAGTCTGAGTCTCTGCAGATAAAGAACATCTTCTTTAGAGGCAGCAGAATGCTCTATAGAAATCCAGCAGCTGTAGCAGCAAGAGGGAGCAGATCATCAAATCCAAGGGGGGCCCCCCTACGTCTCTCCTTTGAAAGGTTGTGGGCCGTTCTAGGGGCCCCTATTAAACAGCGCATGCAATCATACGACTTTCAAGCATTAGAACAAAGAGAAAAACAGATTAAAGAACAGCAGCAGCACTTCCTTGGTTGTCTACGTAAGACCATTGGTGAGAGATTCAAACCCTCAACATGCGTGCATGCATTTGTAAGAGAGTGTATGCATTTATAACGTATGCAGATGTTGTTTGCTGCTGCTGCTGCTGCTGCTGCAGGCTTTGTTTTTGCTGCTGTTGTTGTTGATATTGCTGTAGATAGCAAAGGTGGTGTATCGTCTGCGGTGTACGTACAGCTGCGTGTTGGGGTGTCTCTGCTGCTGCTGCTGCTGCTTCTGCTTCTGCTTCTTCTTCAGCATTGAGGCAGCAAAGGAGACAATTTTGTTTATCTTCTAGGAGACTGTTAGGCCGCCTTTGGCTAACAGTGCTGCACTCGAGAGAACAAAGAAAAACATTGAAGGAAGCACTGACCTCTGAAACCCGTCTCCTCCGCATGCAGTCTCAGCCAGAGAAGACAAATAAATAAATAAATAAACAATTAATTAATTAATTAATTAATATACGTATTAACCCTCTAAACAAACATTCACACGAACACAAAAGCAACACCCCCCTCCTGCTCTGGTCTTCATAGTAAGGCTCGTATGGGCCCCTTACGGACCTTTTAGGGGCCTATTAGGGGCCCCTTGGGGGTCTTTTAAGGGCCCATTAGGGGTCCCTTGGAGCCTTATTAGGGCACCCTTGTGGGCCCTTTTTAGGGCCTAGTAGGGGGCCCTTAGGGGTCTGCTTGAGGCCTAACAGGGGTGTTCATTAAGGGCTTCTTGAGGGTGTATTGGGGGCCCCTTAGGGGCCTCTAGCGGGCGTATTAGAGGCCCCTTGGGGGCCCTTTGGGGGCCTCTTAGAGGACCCTTAGAGGCCTCTAGAGGGGCCCCCCAGAGACCCCTAAGGGGCCCCTATGATGAAGGGATATTTGCACTCTTAAAATATCTGTTAGAACGCCTAGGGAGGCCCCTGTAGAGACCGAGAGCACAGAGGGGTGAGGGCCCCCGGGGGCCCCCAAGGGCCCCCAATAGCAGCACGTTATGAAGTTAAAGTTGTGGTATTAAGAGGGAGGAGGGAGGTGAGGGGGAGAGAAATCTGTATGATAAGACTTTATCTCTTTTGATTTATTGTCTTAAGAGATGCAGTATTTGCTTTTAATGAATTTAATTTGTTTGAAGAGTTTGTTCGCTGCCTGTCTCCTCTGTCTCTTTCAGAGATGCGCAGGGAAGGCTTCGCTAGGGTTTTTCTTTAATATAGATATGCACTGAGAAGAGTATATATCATCTTCAAGATTAATAATATATATATATATATGCATATATACGCATGTTTTTACTTAGATAAAATCATTAAATCTCTACATATAAACGCGTATACATACATATATATGCATATATATATATACATATGTAGATATACTTAATGACTTGTTCTCTTATATTAATTAAGTGCAGTGCTGTGTGTCTTCAATGCAGTTGAAGTCTGCGGTATTGAGTTTTCTTCGCTGGGCAGCGGGCTAAGACTGAAGAAATAGGTGTTAATGAAGATAAAAATATACATGCAAATAATATATATATATATAGAATATATATATACGTACATACATATATATATACATATATACATATAGAATATATATATACGTACATATATCTATATATACATACATATATATATATATATATAAAGCTTTCACAGCACCTCGTTGCTGTGTCTAGGCGTTATTTCCCCGTCTTTCTGCGTTAGACCTACAGAAATTGAAAAAAAAATAATTATAAAATGAAGTATAGACAGAGTGTGTATACAGTATGTAGCTCTATATTATACTGTATTTTTATATATTTATATACATGTGCTTGTATATGTATATATATAAATATATGCAGCGTTATTTACTGTATTTATTATATATATTTGTGTTTATGTGTACTATCTGTATTTGTGTTTAGGTATACTCCATTTGTACATACTTATGTATTCTGCGCTTATATGTATTTATTTATCCGTTGCATTTCTATATAATTGTATATGTTATATTTATATATATTTGTGTGTAAGGCATCGCTTTCTTGTTATTCTTTATTCTCGTGCTAAGGGTAGGTATAACATAACACCATAATAGAGAATTAGCTACTGCGTCTTCATTGTTTACAAAGCAAAACCTTCTCATTTGCTTATATATTTAAATTTAATGATTAAAATACAGAAAATATATTTTAAATAGACTGTCTTTTTCTTCTAAGCAACGAGGGAGGAGTGCGGAGTCTAAAGACCACTGGTGATGCATTCATATGTGCATCGACTGGATATCTTTTCGTTTAATTTATTCCATTTATATTTATATTAACATCCCATATTAATTTTAATTAACTTTTAATCTTCTTATTTGCTTAGTCGTACAAATATAGAGCTCATTTCCCCTCGCTTCCATAGACATTCTGAGCGTGCATGGATTTCAATGAATTTCTGCAATTGTGCAGAAACCTCGCTGAACGAAGTTCTTTCTTCTGTCGTTAAGAACAATTTAATTTCCTTTTAAATGAATAATAATACGGATTATTTTAACTTAAACGTTTAAATTTAGTGCAATTGAACAAAAAAGCAGAAGAAACGCCTCAACGAGCATCGAAAGCAATCACCGCTCTCTAAGGCGCGAGCCTCCACAGTCTTCAGGCATCTCGAGAGATGAATGAGAGGAAAGCCAGTGCATCAGTTCATTAAGTTTAAATTTCTTTTGTTCTTTTTAATTGTTTTCTTTGTTTTAATTGTCTTGCGATTATCAAATATACCTCTTAAACCTTTTTAAACCAGGTTTCCCTCACTTTTCACGTTCAAGAAGATGGCGATACACCTCAGAAAGTCCGTGCTTGTCTGCGGAGGGCTCTTCGTTCAGATTTGTCTTTTCTATCCTTCTAAAGCCGATGCTGCAGTAAATGTTAGTGCAAATGAAGGAGGCTTTCTTGCTCGGCAAGAGCCTGAACCCGTTGTAGACGGTGGCGATGAACAGTCTATTCAGGAAGCTCTAGAAGAAGCAAAAGCAGTACTAGCAGCAGCAGAAGCAGCAGCAGCGGAAGCAGCTGCTGATACTGAAGTTGCTGGCTTCTCTAGCGAAGATGAAACAGAAGAGGTAGGAGAGTCTGCAAATACCCTACAAGCACCGGCTACCGACACCACCGGCACTGCAACAGCAACAGCAGCAGCTCCATCTGCTGCTGCTGATGAGGCTACTGCAGCTGCTGCTGCTGCTGACGAGGTAGCTGCTGCTGCTGAGGAGGAGGAGGCTGAGGAGTCTCCATCTGAAGGTGGTGGTGAGTCTAGCAGCGATTCTGACGATGGGGGGTCTCTACTAGGCAACCTATTTGCAGAGGAAGAAGCAGAAGACGATGAAGAAGCCTCTATCGTTGTCCGTCGCTTAACATCTCTAGAAAGTCTTGATGATGAGGAACCTGAAGATGCCAAGAGGGCAGCAGCAGGAGAAAAAGAAGCAGAATCAGACCCTCTTGCTGCAATCCAGCAGTTTCTTGCAGAGGAGCTACAGGAGCCTCTTATCCCCGAGGGAGCAGAAGAAGGCATGCAGAAGACAGCAGCAGAAATCATGCAGCAGCTAATGAATGTCGGCTTGGGGCTGCAGCAAGCAGCAACAGGAGGCCTGAACATTGCTGAGCTTGGGGAGAAGAAAGCTGAAGAAATTTATAACGTAGTAAAGGGAGTTATGCAAGAGCTTCAGGCACGGATGGGTGGTGCTGAGGAGGCGCTGGAGGCTGCTGCTGCTGCAGTGAACTCTCCTGCTGCTGCTGCTGCTGCTTCTGCTTTAGCAGAAGCATTCCCGTCGATGCTACAGGATCTGGTTGCCCTATTGGGAGATAGCAGCAGCAAGAAGCAGCAGGAGGCTCTCTTAAGCCTTGCAAAGGATACTCTTAGTGTGTTAGAAGGGGAAGCAGCAGCGCGAGCAGCAGCAGGAGATGCAGCAGCAGCAGCAGCTGCTGCTGCTGAGATGCAGAGACAGAGGGAGAAGGTTAAACTCACCGCTATATCTGCTGCAGAGCTACGGGTTTCCTTAAGGGAGTTCATTGAGCGGCTCTCTGATCTTGTTTCGCACACAGTACAAGCAGCAGCAGAGAAGCAGGGAAAAGCAGCAGCAGCAGCAGCAGCAGCAGCAACTGATGTCATAGGTGATGCAACTCTCATTGCCCAAGAAGAAGCAGAAAAACTGAAGACATCAGCAGGGCGTACAGCTGAGCTCCTAAAACAATACTTCCTACAAAACATAGAAGGAGCTGCAGATACACTAGAGAAGACAAACCCTGAATTACTTGAGTTGCTTCTTAGGTTTTATAGCCTCCTAGCGACGGGCGCCCAATAAGCACGTTCATATATATATGTATATGAATATATATAAATATATGCATGCACATATATATATATATATATAATATTTATATTTGTTTTTGGTGTTGTATTGTATAGGGAAGTAATATCAATTACAGCACAATATGTATATGTATATACGTAGTATGTATATTATATATAATATATATTATATACATAAATATATATAATATATATATATGTATATATTGTATATATTTTGTATATTATAGTTGCGGTGAGGCGTGTTTGTTGCATACAGCACAAGATATTGTTTTCTTTTTGACTCTGTATTTATTTGTTGCAAGATTGGAGAATAATAATAATAATAATAATAATAATAATAATAATAATAAACAAGGGGCTAAACAAAATTATGCATAATTTTTTGTTTTTCTTTTGTTTGGTGGTGATGTTTATTTGTATAGAAAACTCTCAGCAGCAGCAGCCAGGCCTTCCTCTCTCTCTACGCCTGCAGCACTGAGTTATTGACTTTTGTTTATTATAACTATTATTATTATTCTTCTTCTTTGTCCTGCGCCGTACACTTCAGCACCAAGTGAAACGGTATATATTATATATATATATATATATATATGTAGAGAGAGATGGTTGTAGGTAGATTCATATATATATATATAATGCACATATATATGTTATTTAGAGTTAATCTCAGCGTTTTAGAGTATTTGTTTGAGCGTAGAGAAGCTAAACGCATGTAATGCTTCAGAATAGAGCAGTGCACAGACAGGAAATAGAGGGGAGCAACGAAATCATAAAACATTTATAGTTTAGAAGTGTATTATATATAAGAGGAAATATAAAAATATAATTTTCTACAGCGACAAACAAACAGACAACAGAGCCGCTAGCCGTAGAAATATAAAATATAATTTTCTACAGCAACAAGCAAACAGACAACAGAGCCGCTAGTCGTAATACGTTGATATAATAAAATGAATTGAGTTTGTTTTTCGTTCGTTTGTTTGTTTATTGCAACAAAAAAAACAATATCTAAATAAAATAAAGTGCTGCATTTGTTCTTCGTTGAGGTGTCTGTACACCGCAGCAGTCAGAGCCAACTGCTCGCATCAAAATCAACTTTAGTTTTTCTTTCTGTTGATTTCTTTTTGCTTTCCGTTGGAAATAAACTGCCAGGAGGAGGAGCAGAAGCTGTGCGTGATTTTGAAGAGGTTGTGGAGAGAGAGAGTCTCTGCTGCAAGCGAAAGAAGAAGACAGAGAAGAAAAAAAAGAAAGATAAATACTTCATATGATAGACGGCCAGTCATTCAAGCAATTAAATACATTAAAGGGTAATAATAATAGATAATAAAGAGAAAGAAGCATCAATATGAAGCAGAAAATAATAAAAAAACCATTACAGCTTTCTTATACTCCCTGGGGGAGAGTCTCTCGTTGTTTGTTTAGCTACCGCATCTGATTTATTCGTTTATTATAAAATATAAACAAATGAAGCATCTATAATCTACTAATATAATTCTTATTCAGTAAGAGCCTGCTTTTGCTGTAAGAAGTGATATAAAGGGATGGTTAGCTGTACAAGCTTAAAAGCAATGCATGCATGCATGCAGACGCAGAGAATACACCCCAGCAGACAACAACAAACAGCCCCTAATACGCAGCAGCAGCAGAAGAAGACGAAGAAGCAGCAGAAGAAGAAGAAGAAGCAGCAGCAGCAGCGGCAGCAGAAGCAGCAGCAGTTAAGCGTTGAGTTGTGTTTGTTGAGGTGTAGTAAATTATTAGTTAGGTGTATCTGCGTACCTGTGTGCTGTCTTGTGGACTTTGCTGGGGTGTCTGTGCAGCTTCTTCTTCTTTTACTAAATGTCTAACTACTGTCTTTTCTTTCTTTCTTTGTAATATTCTTTTTCTCCTAATTTCAGCGACTCGCTGAGCTAAATGCCTCAACTCCGCTAAATTCTGCACAAAGAAAAACAAAGAGAAAAGAAAATAAATTAAATATAACCAGAATAATTATTATAAATATATATTTAATGCATTTAATTAATCATTTTACGTATATATATATATATATAACAAACAAAACAAACAAAAGAAGCAGTTCGCACTGCTTTGAATCAGCAGCAACAAGGAGAGAAATTTAAATAATAATAATAAAAATAATATTAACAATAATAACACGAATAATATTAATATAATTGTTAATATTTTTAAATGAATAATATAAACCCTAAACCCTAAACGGCATATCACACCCTCAGCCAAAGGAAGAGAAAATAAAATAAACAAAAGAAGCAGACAGAGAAACAAATAAAATATAAACGAGGCAATATAAAATAAAACAAAGCAAACAAAAAAGAAAAACAAACAAACAAAGAAAAGGCTTCAATAAACAACGAGAAAAAGAAGACATCAGCAAATACAAAACAACACCTGCACATTCATTCACCCAATAAATAAATAAATAAAATAAAATAAAATAAATAAATAAATAAATAAATAAATAAATAAATAAATAAATAGACGAATAGTATATCTCTGCAACAAGGCACATGCATATATTCATCGTAAATGCATAAGAGAAGTAAAGCAGCTGAGTTTACATATATATTATATATTGTATACATATGTATATTATAATATATATATATCGAAGAGAAGCCCTTTTGAGATGTATATTGTTTTATCTTGAAATGAATAAAGGGAGAACAAAGAGAAAGAGAGAAAAAGAGTTATTTTATTTTTATTTATTCTGCTCTACGTACACGTTCTGTAGAAAAACTCTGCTCCGCTGGCATCGTCTGCAGCTGCATGTCTGCTGCATTTAATTCTATCATCCACAACTTATGCACCTCCTGCACATCAACATATAATCAAACATATACACATCAACACCTGCAGCAGCGGCTGCAGTAGCAGCTGCAGCAGCAGCTGCAGCAGCAATTACCCACAACTTCACCGCTAGCAGCAGCTAATGTAGCAGATAATCCAGCATATTATGCATCATCTTAAGTATCAGCTATAGCAACACTCGCAGCAGCTGCAGCATTTAGAGCAGCACCAGCAGTAGCAGCATCAGCAGCATCAGCAGCAGCATCAGCCGCAGCATCAGCAGCATCAGCAGCAGCAGCATCAGCAGCAGCATCAGCAGCAGCGTTTATTATACTTGAGCTGCTTGAAGAGATGCATGTTTTGCCCAGAGCGCATTTTCAGCATTCTCTAACTCTTGTGCAAAAGTATAATAAGGCAGCAACACGTCGTCGATAGCCTTGACTCTATCCGCACTCAAACCTGAATTAAATAACAGAAATCAAATAAACATAAAGATAAAATCAAAAGAAAAAGAAAGGAAAAAGAAAAGAAAAGACAAGCAAAAAAAGCAAGGATAAAATATAAAGAAATGAAAAAGATAGATAATAAGAAAAGAAAAAGTAAATGAAAAGAGAAGGAAGGATATAAAGAAAAATAATAAAAATAAATTTAAAATAAAGTAAAGACAGAAGAAAACAAAAGAAAAGATAAAGAAAAGACAGAGAAATGTAAAGGAGAGACAACGATAAGAAATAGGAGAAAAGAGAGAGAGACTTCATAAACAAACAAATATCTCTAATTCAAACAAGCAAACAAAAGGATATATATATATATAATATATATATATAAACAGCAAACAACAAACACAAACACTGCAATACAGCAGGAGGAGCAAACAAAAACAAACAAATAAACAAACGCATAGATTGATAGATAGATATGAATACATAGATAGATAGATAGAGAGAGAAAGAAGTAAAGAAAGAGAGATAAAGAGTTAGAGAGAGAGATGCAGCAACCGACAACAACAGCAAGCAGAAAAACACAGTTAGATAGACAGACAGAGAGACAGAGAGACAGAGAGACGGAGACAGAGAGACAGCAATATAGTAAAGGGAAGAGACAGATAAAGGAAGGGTGAAAACTACAGACCTGCAACAAGAGCTTTATACTTTGGATGTGTATAATCTGAACCCCCTTCTTGCATTTGAATTAACTTTGCTTGTGCTGCTTTCTCACAAACAGAACGAACAGCAGCTTCCTCTCCGTTAAAGTATGCCTCCACTGCTTCTGCCTTCGCAGCGACATTAGCCTGAAATCATCGAATAATAATAATAATAATATTATAAATACTATTATTATTAGTAGTAGTATTATTATTGTTATAAATGCTTGCAATGCAGGGAAGGTAAGTTCAATTGAAGTCAAGATGCTTTCACTCGGGATGCAGCGGTGGTGCGAGCTGTGATGCTGCACAATCGACTAATAAAAATAATAAAAATAATGAAAATAATGAAAATAAGAAGAATAAGAATAATAATACTAATGAAAATAGTACTAATGCATAAAAATATTTAGTAATAAGTGGATAAAGTTGTTATTTTCTTTATCTGAACGAACCTGCAATTGTTGATAAGCAGCATATGCCTGTCCATATTCAAATTGAAGACGAGCAAATGTCTGCTGTGCTGCTGTTATTCCCCGCATGCGCGCCTCTCTAGCTATCAAGACGGCTTGATAGGGCGACATATCGCTGCTTTCAGACTTCTGACTGGCGCTAGGAGTGCCGCAGTTAATGAGATTTGTACTGACACCGAAGAAAGCCATTTTCTTCAATCCCAGCTTCTCTAAACAATGAGAATAAAAACAAACGCCTTCTTCCTATTGCAAATATCCACAATACGTACGTACGCTAAGGCATCAGATGCTGCAAACACCTTTAAAACTATTTCAAAAACTCCACAATATTATTCTCATCAGAAGTAAAAGAAATCAAATCCTTTCTTGTCTAATCCAGCAGCTTAACTGCTGTTCTGTTTAATGGGTCTGCTGCACATCTCATGTCGCCTTAGTTTCCACAGGTTATTTATCAGAACCCTCTGATCGCGCATTCCAAGAAAGCAGCGAAAATGCTTCAAAATGCCCAACAGGCAATCATAAAATGAAAGAGCTTTAAAATGTGAATATAATGGCTGCTTCTCCGCTGCTTTCTTCAGGAACTCGACCATGTTCAACTTCCTGATGCTGTTGCAGCCAACCCTGCGCAACCTGGGAAACACGGAGGAAACCGAGGCAAATTTGCATTTATAATGTATATTTAGGCGTTATTTCGGAGAGTACACAACATTAGAATATGAATAAAACACAAGAAACTCATTTATATCTTGCATGCTGGCCCCGCGTCTTCGTAGCTACAGCCCGAGGCATAACGTCAGCGCAGAGGCCGACCGGCCCACCGGTCAGGCAGCTGATCCAGCGTAATAATAACTTATTTTCTGTGTTTTCTCGTTTATTTAAGAAGTATTTAGGATTTATAACCTATTTGATCAAATGGTATCTGGAAATGCAGCTCTTCAGCCTGCGTGCACACCTTGAAACGTCGGCGTTCGAATGGAACGGTTCTGTTGCAGATAGCATCATGTAAGCCGCACATTGCTCAATTTCATTTGAATTAATTTGCACATTACGCTATTTTTTATCGCTCTTTTCGATAAAGGCGTCCATTTAAAGGCCAATGGAGTGACCAGAAGCCCTATCAAATGACTGCCGCCTTCATCTGCATCTCCGCGCCGAGGTTTGCAAACATCGATACATTGCTTTCTTCCCTCTTCTCCTTCCGGCCTTGAAGTCCCTCAGATGCAGACAAGTATCTGCAATAACAAGACCTTTGTGTGTGTTTAAAAAGGTGTTTTACCTTCAGGGTAGCCTGCTCTATGCTCAAAGGGCCTCGAGTTAGTACCTAGTTTATCCTCTGTTCACCGTGCCTGCCCAGCTTACCTTATTCTTCCAACATCTTAATGAGCTCCTCTATGCCTATAATGCTGCCATGGGGCTCTAGGGGCCCCCCTGGAGGTCTGGGGGGTCTGTCGGCTCCCTCTGTGCCTCCGGAGGGCAGCAGCTGGTGTGGTGTGGATGAGAGGCAGTGGGGCCCCCCAGGGGGGCCCCAAGGGGGGCCCTCAAGGGGGGCCCCTCCACGTCTTATACCCCAGAGAAGCTACTTGAGACTTTCTCAATCTTTCAGATGGAGTCAGGGGGGAGTTGTTGTTGAAAGCCACTCCAGCAGCGCTCAGGTTATGTGCTCTGTGGGGCCCCCCGAAGCAACTGCAGCTAAAGTAAGCCTGATGTTTGTATTTTGTTTAAATAAACACACATCTTTCTGCTCTTCTTTCTGTTGCCTTTCTCCTTGCCTTCGGGGCTTTCGGGTTGAAACCCTCTCCAGTGCATCACCAGTCAAAGGCGTTGCTTTCGTATATTCAATTCAAAGCATGCATGAATGCATGCGTAGGAGGTAGTAACGAGTTAGGATTTAAGAGGGCAGGTGGTGGCCGTACAGTGCTGAGGTGTATAGGGAGCTAGCTGTATGTGCTGTCTCTGCGTCTGTCTGTGTTGCATGCAGATGAAAGAGTATGAAGGTTCATCGCTGCGCAGCAGCAGCAGCAGTTCGCAAGGATTACAGCGCAGCAGCAGCAGCAGGAACAGCTGGAGGTCCTCGCAGTCTGCTGGGGGCCCCAAAGGAGCGTCGGGAGGCCCCCCTACAATACCTATTGTTGCATCTGCTGCTTCTTTTAGCGCTCAGTACAATCCGGGGGGCCCCTCATCTAGGGGAGCGGTGAAGGCTGTGCATTTTCTAAGGAAGATTGAGGTTGTGCACACAGCAGCTGCTGCAGTGCCTCAGCAGCAGCAGCAACGGTACAGCAGCAGCAGCAGCAGCAGCAGCCACAACAGCAGCAGCAGCAGCAGCAATAATTGCAACGGCAGCACTGGAGCGCTTGCAGCGATCTTAGGCCTCAATGGAGGGGAAGCTGAGGGCCTCCAAGGTGCGGTGCTGCATGCATATATTAAACAATAATTTGCGTATTATCTCTTCAACTGCTTGACTCCCCCAGCTTTTATATTGCTGCTGCTGCTGCTGCTGCTGCTTGTGCTGCATCTGCTGTTGTTACTGTCTCTGCTGCTTCTACTGCTGCTGCTGCTGCTTGTTCTACCTCTGCTGTTGTTACTGTATCTGCTGCTTCTACTTCTGCTGCTGCTTGTGCTACATCTGCTGCTGGTGCTGCTGCTGTTGCTTCTGTTGCTGCTACAGGGCCTCAGGCTTTCTTGCGTCGCTGCTACTCTGGAGGTGCTGCTGGGGCCCCTCACCCACCAACCTCTAGGGGCCCCCACCAGCGTGGGCAGCAGCTGCAAGCTCTTGAAGACGACAAGGCAGCAGCAGCAGTAGCAGCAGCAGTAGCAGCAGCAGCAGCAACGAGAGGGGAGAGACGGACGATCTTGAGGCGGTCTGCTGCAGCAGCCAAACCATCTGGTGGTGGTGCTGCAGCAGAGCAGCAGCAAAAGGATAAGTTAATTGCATCTTTCTTATCTCACGAAGATAAAGCAACAAAAGACAAAGAAAATAAAAACAATCAGGCAAGGATAGCAGCAGCAACTCGGCGCCGCAGCACCATGGGGGCCCCCATGGAGCTATCCACTGTACGTACAGTGAAGGGGCCTCGGCTTAAACAGGGGCCCCCTACCTCTCAGGCATTGGGGGCCCCCTCTTCACTACCGCATAGAGTGGCTGTCAGGCCTGCAAACTCTGCTGGTGCAGCAAGAAGACGAAGGACGAATAGCAGCAGCAGCAGCAGCAGCAGGAGCAGCAGAAGCAGCAGCGTATCTCAGCCGGAGGTGTACCCGCAGAAGACTTTTGCGTTTTCTTCAAACCTTACAAGAGAGATGTGGGGTATTCCTTCAGCAGAAGGAGCAGCAGCAGCAGCAGCAGCTGCAGCAGCAGCAGCTGCAGCAGGAGATGCAGCAGAGGATTTTGAAGCTTCCTTCCTTCGGGGGCCCCCAACCTCTAATAAGAAGCAGCGGGAGAGGGGGGCCCACCGCTACATGAGTACAACAGAAGCTTACTTCGGTAGAGTGCCTCAGAATTCTTTAGATTTCCAGCGCCTGTTGAGGAGAGGCAGCAGAAAAACAGATAAAGATATTGCTGCTGTAGGCAGCAGCAGCAGCAGCAGCAGTAACCGCAGCAGCAGCAACAGCGGGGGACAAAGGGAGAGAGAAGAGATCACGAAGAGACAGAGTTGGTGGCAGAGACGGAAAGAGAAAGCAGCAGCTGCAGCAGCAGCAGCAGCAGCAGCACCAGCAGCAGCAGCAGCACCAGCAGCAGCAGGTTTTAGGGTGCAGCAGCTGCACGAGGAGACAGCTGAAGGAGACAAAACAAGATCAAAGAAAAACAATCAAAAAGATTTAAGAAAAAAAGTTAAAAAAGCAGAGAGAGCCTCCAAAGGCATCGAAGCAGCAGCAGTTATTAGGGCAGTAGAAGCAGCAGAGACAACAGCAGCAGCAGCAGCAGCAGCAAGAGCAGCAGCAAACCCTCGCCTGATACGCTCTCCCTGGTCTCGCGTAGAACGAGAAACTCCTGCTGCAACAACAGCAACAACAGCAGCAGCAGCAGCAGCAAAGGAGCAGAAGAGGCAGCAAGGACTACGCAAGAGCGTTAGCTTCCCAGTGTCTCTGCTCTCAAAACTAAAAACAAAATTTAGGCGGTTGCGCTCATCTAATAAATGAAGGGATTCAAGGCAGCCGACCCGTGCTGCTGCTGCTGCTGCTGCATGCGTGCATGCAGCAGCAGGTGGATGCATAGTTTGAAGACAGAGATGCAGTAGCAACACCTCGCAGGAGTTTAAAAAGGAAGACAGAGAGGCTGCAATAGAAAGAAAAGCAAAGACAGAAGCAGCGGCAGCAGCAGCTGCTGCTGCTTCTCCAGTTGCTGCTGCTGCTTCTCCAGTTGCTGCTGCCTGGGGTTATTGTCTTGAATGCATATGCAGAGGGTTGGCAGCCCCATGCATGCATGCATGCATGCAGGCGTCTCTATTTAAGGGATGCTGTTTGTTTGTTTGTTTGTTCGTTTGTTTGTCTTCCTTCGTGTTGTAATTTAAATAAACTTTAAATACCCTCCGCTTTATATTTGAATAATAGCTATGAGCGCAGCTTAAGAGCAACGCAGCAAAGGCCTGCTGCAGAAGCAGCAGCAGCAGGAGCAGCTGCTGCTGCTTCTGCTCCTACAGGGTGTCTGCTGCTGTTGATGCTGCTGCTGCTGCAGCCACTGCCCCTCTCGCAGCTGTTGCTGCTGAAGCTGCCCGTCAACTCCAGAAGGAGATGAAATTCTTAATGGGCTTTGTTTAACCGAACGACTTATTCATATTACTTTATATTTATATGTTTATTTATTTATCTATATAAATATATATATATATATAGTTTACTTATTATATATAATATATATAGAGAAATATGTTTATTATGTATGCATTCGTATATTGTTTATATATACATTTCTGTATGTATATATCTGTATGCGTATATCTGTACGTTAGTCAGTGAGGTGGGTCATAGAGAGGCCTGTGGAGGCGTTTGCTAACAGTGCATGCGCAAATACAAAGTAATAATAATAATAATATTATTATTAATATCAATAATAATACTAATAATATATAATAATACAGAGAAGGTATTAGATAGAAAGAGACGAGTTTTTATTATAATAATATATGCAGAGACGCAAAATATTGACGGACAGCAAACTCCATACACCCGAACAAACACACAAAAAATGCATTTATTGTTAAAATTATTAATAATTTAAATTGAAAGAATTTCAGCGCTTCTTCTTTCTTGAAATATATGCAGCGGAGCCTTTGTATCCGCCCGTCTAATGGCATAAAAGACAATCATTAAAGAAAATGCTGCTTTTAAGAAATACATAAGTACGATGGAAAGAGAGAAAAAAAATAAAAAGAAGGGTCGTAAGCATTCCCCGGGTTCTGTTGAATTTTAATTGAATTTCTTCTTCTGACGGTGAATATTTCTGATTTAGATGCAGAAATACTGGTGAAGAGCCGAGTTGAGTCGTATTAATTCACCTTTGAGGAGTAAATTTATTATTAATTAATTTAAATTAATTCAGAAAAATATATTTTTCATGAATTCTTTCATAAGCGTTGAGGGTTCATGGCTGTTTCTTTATCCTGTTTGAATGCGGAAGCGGAGGCATGTGTAGCGGTAAAGTTTGCTCGAAGAAAGGAAAAATATATTATTATTCAATGAAAAATATTATTTTCATTGAAGAAGAAAGCAAAAAAAGACGAAGAAATAGAGAATTAAAAGGACTATCAACCCCCCCCCTGTTCGCAGCCGCCAGGTGTACGTACAGCTGGAGATGTTGCTGCGGCTCCTATCGCTGCATTTTATTCGATAAAAACATGAAAAGATATATTTATTAGCAGGTATATTTAGTTTTTATCATTAATTTACCCTGAAAAGCAAACATTTCACACTGAACCTCTTCCTTGTTTCCTGTTTTTCTTCGCGCTTCCCTCTCTACTACCCCAGCCTGTTTCTGTCTGCCGCGGTTGCAACGATTTCTTGCGCATCTACTTTATTGAAGAGAGAAAATTTATCAGTTAACAATAACCTATAGACAGATGCAGATCAACAGATGCTGTAGATGATGCATTAGGGAGCCCTTCAGTAGTTTTGTGCAGATCTCAATTACTTCATTCGCTTGTCTGCATTGGCTGCCTCTTTATTGTTTTGTTTGAGTGAAGGGAGCTCCGGTCTTGCAGTGTATGTACAGCCCTTCTTGAGGGCTTCCTGGCTTCTAGATGATGGTAGACACTCGGCATCGCTATCTCTCTTTATTTTCTTCTGTTACTCTTCTTCTCTCTGCCGCTCTGTCTTCTTCTTTTCTTGCAAATGCTGAAGCTCCTGCTCCTCCATTCGAGGCAAAAGCAGTTGTAATTGATGCGGGAAGCACCGGCACTCGGCTGTATGTATACTCGTACACGTATACGTACACACCAGCAGCAGCAGCAGCAGATGGAGGAACAGCAGAAGCAACAGCAGCAGCAGGTGCAGCAGCAGCAGCAGCAGCAGCAGCAGCAACACCGCAGGTGCAGGTGCAGGTGAATGTCCCTGCCATTGCAACAAAGCGGGTGAGCCCTGGTATAACAGCATTTGTAGACAGTGTAGAGGAGGAGTTACGACAGGCGAAGGAAGCAGCAGCAGCAGCAGCAGCAGCAGCAGCAGCATCAGCAGGTGCAGCAGGAGAAGGTCCTGCTGAAGAAGCAGAAGAAGAAGGAGAAGCAGGAACAGCAGCAGCAGCAGCAGCAGCTGTTAGCAATGAGAAATACCACAATGACGCTGCATTAACGAAGACATTGAAGAGCTACTTGCAGCATTTATTAAAAGCTGTTGAAGAAGCTATCCCTAATAGAGAAGAAAGAAGGCATTCTTTATTGTTGTTCAGAGGCACAGCCGGCATAAGATCTTTACCTTTAGATAAACAAAAAACTCTAATGTTTGCGATATGTGAAAACTTAAAGACTTGGGGGCTTCTTTATAAACCTCATATTGCATGCAGCGTACTTTCAGGTGTAGAAGAAGGTGTATTAGGCTGGTTGTCTCTTAATTATCTGTTAAATCGTATATCTGCAGAGACAGGAGCAGTTATAAAACAAAATAAACAGATAAAACAAGAAGAATATACACATAACGCTCAGCATACACCTCAAAATAATATACATTTACAGCAAAATAATACAACAGGGGCTATGATTGAGATGGGAGGGGCTTCTGCGCAAGTTGTCTTTGAATTGCCTCTCTCTATTCTTCAAGAAGAAGAAATAAAACAAGCTGCTGCTGCTGCTTCTGCTGCTTCTGCTGCTGATGCTGCTGCTGATGCTGATGGTGCTGGTACTGCTACTGCAGCAGCAGCAGCAGCAGCAACAGCAGGAGAAGCAGCAGCAGCAGGAGGAGGAGATGGACATACACCTCAAGATGAAGAGACAAATAACTCTTTTCTACTTCCTGTAGAAGGGCATGCAGATTTAAAAATATTAAACCTCGGCAAGAAGAAGATGCTGCTCTTTACAAAGAGTTTCTTGGGGCTTGGTGAGGTAGACAGATATTAATTTTATATTTATTTTATATTTATTTTTATCTTTATTTTTATCTTGCACTTCGTCTTTCTTTTAGTCTTTTTAAATAGCTTTCTTTTTATGTTTTTCTTTGTTTTTATGTTTTTAACTATCTTTCTTTTTATCTTTATTCTTCTTTTGCTTCCTTCCATTCATTTCTTGTTCTTTTGTTTCTGTCTTTGCTTGTTTAGGGTTTAGGGTTTAGGGTTTAGGGTTTAGGGGCGCATGCTTGGTAGTTTGCTTGTATGTTTGTTTTGTCTGTTTATTTGCTTTGTTTATTTAATTTGTTTATTTGTTTATTTATTTATACATTTTAGTTTGCTGTTTTTGTGTATATCTTCTGAGTCTCTCTTTATTTAAACTTAGATATAAATTAATATGATTGAATATAAATTAATTTATATTCATTTGAGTAAATATAAACGAATACAAATAAATTAATTAATAATTAATAAATAGTCAATTAATAAATAATTAATAAGTAATTAATAATTAATAATTAATAATTAATAATTAATAAACAATTAAATATAGTTTTGTTTGTTTTTCTTAGGTCGGCAGCTAGCGCTTGTACGTGTTGCTGCTCGTTCTCTTCGTACACATTATGCGCAGCACGTAGATAAGCTGCTGCAGCAAGCAGCAGGAGACAGGGGTAAGGACATGGGAGGAGCTGACGAGACACCTGGATGAGTTAAAGATTAAATCTCTAGCTAGAGAAGAAGCAAAGAGAGTGCAGAGTAAACGGCTTACGAGGGCAAGAGGTACTGCAGACTTCGAGCGCTGCCGCACCGTAAGACAAAATAAAAATAAATATAAATAAATAAAATAAATAAAACAAATAAAATAAATAAAAATAAATAAAAATAAATAAACAAAATAAATAAAATAAATAGAATAAAAATAAAATAAAAAGATAATTTAAACTCTTTCTACTCTCTCTATTTTCACCCTCTTCTTCTGCTCGCTTTTATTAATTGTTGTTTGACTTTTGTTTATTTTTCTGCTTGTTTATCTGTCTATGTTATTATATATATATATATATGTATATACATATGTATATATCTGCATAGAAATATATGTTTATACTCATATACGTATACAATTAAATATATATATCTATATAATGCATATGAATAAATACATCTATGTGTATATGTATATGTATATATATATATATATAGGTATATATATATATATATACATATATATATATATATATAGATTGATACACCTCTCTACACCGATGTATATACGAATAAATATATCCACACACATATACATATACATATACATACATACAGACATACATACATATATATACATATGCATATATATATATATCTAAATTAATATAAAGAAATTTATAACTATAAATATGAATAGTATTGTGCATGCACAGGAAGTGAAGCTGAGCTGGCGAGACGGCGAAGGCCTCGCGTTCGAAGTGCCGGCGGAGATGGATGTCTTCGCAACTGAGAACTTCTTTCACTTCAATGAGGTGTTTAATTTAATTTAGTTAATTTAATTTAGTTAATTTAATTTAGTTAATTTAATTTAGTTTTATGTTATATTTTAATTTAATTTTATGTTATGTTGTGTTATAATTTGTTATGTTATCATGTTTTATTATCTAATATATTATAATACTATATAAGATATTGTAATATAATATATTATATAAGAATATATTATATAATATAATGTAATATAATATATTATATAATATAGTATAATATAATATA